GTAATCATTTAGGGGTAAAAGGTTAACTGAAATCAAGCATACCCTCTTTTCTGGATTACCTGCTGCATAATATCATCTACAGTGCAAAACCTTGTTGTGTCCTTTGATAGAGAATAATCAGTGCATAGCAGAAAGATCAGAATGAACAGTAGTTAATAATCTAACATAGCTACTGGCTGTGAACGACGAAAATGTACAGCTAACAAAGCAGCAAACAAGGAGTAGCAGGAGGAGGCGAGCAGGAGGCTCAATCACATACTGGCATGATCGCTACAGCCTGCTGCTGATAAAGCACACATCCACTCTGTGTCTTCTCAGTGCATATTGAGTCAGAGCTGCAGAGAGCGGGAACAGGGCAGACTGGAATGTGTGCTCGGAGCTTGAGTAAAAGCACATGGTAGAAGATGTTGACTGAAACAGTGCTTGTTGTATACGTGCTCAAACCCAGAGAGGCAATACCCAGGTCATGTTTATCAAGCCGACATTAGAGGAGCTTAACAATTTATTTTAGGTCATCATATAAAATCAACACTGCCTCATCCTTGATTTTTGGTTTTATTTAATTTGTTTTGACCAAACACTTTATATGGAGATGGATAACATGTCAAGCAAAGCCAAAGCGTCTTGGTCGCCCCCCCAGTGGCTGACTGCAGTATAGGTCATAAGTCCTGTCTCCTGCAGAGAGGACGTACACCACACTAAAAAGTCAAAATTAATGTCAAATAAATTTCAGGTAACTCTTATCACAATGATGCTTGATCGAGTTGGTTTTCATACATTTTTGATGCAATAAAAAAGAGGTGAAATGTCATGTTTAATGGCTGGGACTGACTCGGCTGCCTGCCCTGATAGCTACTATCAGGCTCTAGCTCCATATGCTCAAGATGGCAGGGTTCTCATACAGGATAGTTTGGCTTCATTTCTGGATTGTGGGAGGTGGTAGAGATGTCTCGTCCATGTTTATATAGAGCCTATAGTTTTTGACTGGCATTAATTCCTGTAGCTGCATAGGTCTGAGGATGCTATGATACTTTAGAATGTCCCTTTGTTTGAGTCCTGCCTCATTGTGTAATCTGTGGACAGATACGTACCATGGCTGCAGCAGCCGCAGCCTGGTTGACTTGGTGTTGGGCAGCTTTAATCTTGGCCTGCAGGTGAGCTGGAGGGTGGAAGTACTTGCACTTCTCCCTCGTGCAGCGGCCCTTTATGTAGTCCATGCACACAGTGACTGTGTTGTCGTTGGTGTCGATCATCGTGCTGTCTGACGGGTGGGCAAAGCGGCAGTCATTCTCCCCACGTGTACAGTTACCCCGCTGGTATTCACGACACACCTGGAGCACAAAACAAACAATTTACACCCATTATTTTGTTCATCCATCCATCCACCTATCATCTGTACTGGTATTGTTAAAGGGTTGGGAGCCTGGAGGCAACCCCAGATGACAATGGGCGAGCAGGTACACCCTGAACAGGTTGCCAGCATATCACAGGGCAGACAAACAAAGACATACAAGCATTTTCACTCTTGTTCACACCTACACAGACAATTTTGAGTTAACAATTAACACTTTCTGCATGTCTTTCCACTGTGGGAGGTGGAGGTGGAGCTGGAGAACTCGCAGAAAACCCACGTTGACAAATGGAGAACATGCAAACTCCACACAAAAAGTGGCTGAACCTGGATTCGAGCCAATGATTCGAGCCAATTACATTTTTGCTGTGGGATGACACAGCACCATGCACCGTGCCGCCACTACTGTTTGCATGATATTGAGAATTTTATCATAAACACAAAATACACAAACTGTAATGCACACACCAGGCGCACAAAAAAACATTATGAAGTTACTGTTCACTTTACTGCACATTTGATGAAGTAATCAATCTGTCCAATCAAGCGCTTTACCAGACAGAGCTAACCAATCTTAATGACAGGTTTGGCCATTACTGTTGATTGATAAGCAGAACAGAATGTAACCAGCATTTACAGACACATCAATCACACAAACTTGATCCATTATTCAAATGAGCTGTGTTGCTATTTCTTTTTCCCACTAAAAACAGAAGGGGGCAGCACCTGCATGAGAAGTTAGGACAGTGATTGCCTCAGCCTGAATAGCGGCTCAATGAGGCTCATGGGAAATATAAGGCTGGTTACCATCAAGGGAGGCTGCAGCTGACGTAATCAGCAGCCCACACTGAATCACTCTCTCTCTTTCACACACACACACACAAGGTGGGTGCACTTGTAAATTACGAGGCACCATTTTTGTCCAGAATTCCATTTTTGTTGCACTTAGAGCTGCTCAAAAGCTAAATATCTGTCCTGTCCTGCACTAAATGAAACTGAGTTTCATGGTGCTCTGTATCGATCTATCAGTTATTGTGATAGAACAAGCCATTTACCAAATGTCTGTTTACCAGCCTCACTGTCTGCATGCATAAAGGATTTGATTTGTGTCGAACCGACCGCCAAACAAAAGGCCACCGGTGCAGTTATCTACAAACTACCCCTGCTCCGTCTCCTGTCATGACAGCTCATCATCCACAATCACTGGTCTGTGTCAGCGATAGGCTGGGATTCTCTCTCTCTGTCTGTCTCCTCACTCATGTACGTTTGACATGCACACTCACATTCACATACAAATATACACTTACACACACATCTGCACACATTAATTCCCCACTACTCTTCCCATCACCACTGCTGCTCCTTGTCTTATTAAAACAAAATCAGACTGCCTTGTTGTCAGGCAGATGTTGGGAGAGGCAGGTGAGGGAGGGAGGAAACAAGGGCGAGAAGTAAAAATGTGTGGTGGATGAATAAAGAGAGAGAGAGAGATAGTGATCAAATAAAGGGAATTTTAAATGGAGGCAATCTAAAGTGTTCTGTGAAAAAGGTGTGCTCTAGTGGCTAATCGTGCATTAGAGAGAGCTAACCCTCTGAAAGTGCTTAGTTGGACAAACAAATAAAGGGCCTGTTAATCATATTTCCGTCCCCATGGTTACTGTCTCTCGGGGCCATTTACATCGCCAATGTTGCAGGTAAGCAATGTATGATTTTCTGAAAGCTAAAAAAATGCTGCAGCGTTGCTCTGAGATGGGGAGACTGGAGAAATATTTTTCAGCAAAACAGTCTGGAGGATTTTCTTCTAAAATAGGAATTTCTCTCTGCCTCATTGAACCAGTGGGTCTGTAACACATCCACTGGCTGGTATGTGTGTCAGTCCACAGAATCTCAGCTATGTTTATTTTGAACTACACACAAGGAACTAAAATATGGTTGGCCCTTTTCTCCAGGATATTTTTAGGAGAACTAGTTCCTGACAAATTAGGCTAGGACTTGAATTCTCCAATCAAAAAAAAAAAGCCTCACTAGTACACACAGGCTGAGCACAACTTGTAGAGTTGACCACTGGGTTTAAATGTCAAGAAGGGAAAAACATTGAAAATGAGCATATTTGGTCTCAACTGCCAATGATTGCGTTTTGGTTACTAAATATTTCATACCTGCCTTGTGTGTTTACGAGACTTTGAATACATTACTTTACGTATAATTTAGCTGACGCTTTTATCTGAAGTGACTTACAGAAAGGGGATTCAACCACAAGGTTTCAAACCCAGAACAGCAAGAATGATGTAAGTACATTAGCTTCAAAAAGGCCAGCCTGCAAAGTGCTACATATATGTGCAACATCTACTGAGAGATGCCAGTCAGACAAGCAGAGATTTGTGCTGCTACCTGTGTTTTTAGACTCATTTCACAGACTCATCTGCATAGCCGTGGTAGGGAAAGCCATGTGAGTAAATTACAGCGCAGAGAGAATTGGTGGTGAAAAAAGGAGGGGACCCAGGACAGAATCTTGAGGGACCCCAGTAGTGAGTGGACAAGGTTCTGACACAGATCCTCTACAGGTTACCCAGTAGGTATGGCCTTTGAGGTAGGATATGAGCAGGGAGAGTGCAAAGCCTTAGACTCCCAGATCCTGAAGGGAGGAAATAAGGATCTGGTGGTTTAACAATATCTTCTCGCATTCAAATTCCTACAACTTCTCACCACTTACGACTAAATTATGAAATCCAATCAACACTCTTCTCTGTTGTCTTTGTATGTCGACAAATTGATTTGCTATCGCCTCCTCCCTCTCCTTCCTGTCAATGACCCTTTCCCTCGCTCTGTATGTCGTCCACTCATCAATAGGACCAAGAGACATGTTAAAGGTCCAGTGTGTAAAATTTAGGTGAAAGGGATCTATTGGCAGAAATTCAATGGAGAATAATCCTCATGATGTTTTCACTAGTTCGTTTCATCTAAATTGTATGAATTGTAGTTTTCTTTAGCCTAGAAAAATGCCCTTTATATTTAAATACTTTATATTTACATGGAGGGGGGTCCTCTGTACGGGGCCGCCATGTTTTTTACATTACTCCAGACTGGACAAACACCTTTTGAGTTTTTATGACAATTGAAGGCTTCCACAGGTTCTCTCATGTTTGGAAGGAGAGGGTGAGGTGAGAGGTATTCAGCTGCAGCATGAAATTTCAACACTTGATATCACTAAATTCTACACACTGTACCTTTAAATGTAACCTTCCTATTGTTCTTGCACGCCTGCTGGCTGCCTTCAACGATTTCCCCATTATTCCGCTGCTAGTGTTTCCTGGCTGGGGCTACATAAGGGATGGGATTGACTTACTGTCCAATTAATGATTATCCGAACACAGCTAGAAGAGCAGCACTCATCGGGTTTCATGACTGACTGTTTTTACAGAGGAATTAAAGATTTTCTGGAAATTAAACACTAGTTCAAAGCTAGTTCACCATAAGAGAACCATGTTTTCTCCTGCGTGTGGATGGGATGCAACATCGACACATTAGTGCCTTTTTCTCTTTGCTCAAGTCTGGGTAATGACTGTATTATGGTAATGGAGTATACAGTAGTTACTGTAACAGCCTCTTTACCAGACACATAATTAAAGTCTACAAACAGAAGCTGTTGAAGACTTTCCAACCCTTTCCTTAAATATTCAATAAGCTCAGCCCACATCTCAGAGCCCAATCTGTTTGCATAGATGGGATAACAATCCTCAGTGGGTGCAGTGTTTACTAGAGTTTTGTTAGTATGTCTTTGAATCTGTGACAGATATGAAAATGACTAAATAATTATGCAAATCCCCTCGTCTGTGTGATCAGTGGTGTGCGTGTGTGTGAATACGGTCCTATTTTATCCCACTTGAGACCAAAAGTGTAAATGTGTCTCTCACCTCCAGTCTGTCTGTTCTCATGAGCTTCTGTGCGGCAGCGGCAGCAGCAACAGGGACGCTGTGGTTGCTGGTGACCAGTACAGGAGCGCTGGGCAAGATGTCAGCAGGTATCAGGCCGGGCGACACAGGGCCAAGGTAGGGGTTAAACGCCGCAGCATTGGCGTTGGTTGCAAGGCTGGGTGTGACTGAAAACATGGGCTGTGGGCAAACGGAAAATGAGAGAGTCAGTCAACATTGAGCATAATTGAGCAAAAACATCCCACTTAGATTTCCTACAAAGTCTATTTATAAAGAGGTGAATATTTTACTACATATACCAATAGGTATATGCAACCATGTGACAGTAGCAGTGAGACATGTATGCCATTATCAAAAGCTAAGGAAAGTATGGGATGTGTGAATGTGGACAGAAAGAATAAGGCAAAAACAGACAATTACTGAGGTTACATCTGAAGATTTCGTTTTCTCTTTTGATGGCTGCTTGTCTTTCATTTACTATAACACAAAGAGTATAGGCCTCGGATCTTTGTATGTTGTTTCCTACTTCACACACTTCATACACCAGAGATCATTAAAGAGTAACAAGGATGAGGGACCTCCCGCTGTGTGTGCAGGGTGTGCAGGAGGAGAGGTGCTACACTGTGCAGTGATGTGTGTTGTGTGCTGCAGTTTGAAAGAGTAAAAGCCCTGCCGACAGCTTCCTCTGACAATCTCCTAAAGGAAAGACTGTGCTAGCTGACGTAGCACACTGCAAGTTTCCCCTGCACGTTCCTGACCCCAGCCCCCGCCTGAGGATTGTCTCTTGAGCCCCTGCCAACACGACACAGTGAGTAATAGAACAACAGCAGCCAGAGCTGGACATCTGCATTCCTCCCAAAACCTCACCGCTGCTCTGGGATGACTCAGAAAACAAATTCTTCTGCCTTCTGTAATGTCTGAAGAATTATGTCCTATCTCAAGTTCCTCTGTAGATGTGCATCGCTCAAGGTGCTCAGATGATGTCATTCAAAGTGCTCACGGTCATGAAGGTTTTAACAATGCAGTGATGTCATCCTGTAAAAAAAAAGTTTACCTTCTCTGTCTCATCACTTCACTTTGAATTGTTTCCAATAATGATATCACAATGCAGATTCTCGCCATAAATCATGATCCCAACTGATTTAAAACAATTACATCAAACCGAGCATATTTACACAGTAGGAACAGAAAAATGTCTCGCTGCATGCCTCCTGTCAGCAATTTGTATCACAGCGGTGATATTATGTTTGTGAACTTCTTTCCAGACAGCCTCTCAGTAACAAAGATTTTTACTTTCTCCGAATCCAAATTGGAAAAGTATATTGTTAAAATCTGCACTGCCAATAGACCTCAATAAAAAAACTGATCAAAGAAAATGTCCCTACTTCAACTTACTCTCTCTCTCTCAGATATAAATAGATCAAAAGCAAAATGGCACAAAGAAGAAACCTGAATTCAGATTTGTTAAATGTTATTGGATTGCGACACAACCACACTCTTTGTTTTTATGATGCAACCACTATTCAACACTACAATTTTCCCTGTTTAACCCATAGACTGTGGATAAAAATGTACAACATGACTGATCCCCCGAAAGTCACACCAAAACATCTCAAAATACACATTAGATATATTTTTTCATCGAAGGTTTCAATCAGTTTTAGGTATTCTTATCTTTGGTTACAATGAGTTATTTCATGATATAAAAAGGGGCTGAGATGCCATGATTGACAGCTCAGACTGATTAGCAATTGATTGAGACTGAGTATTGGCAGGACTTTGATATTGTGAGTCCACACCACCACCATTGCTGCAGCTGTAATTTTCTGTTCAAACCCGACCAAGCCCGACAGTCATTCTGTTTTCTGTGACCAAACCGACCAGAGTCCTATGAGTGTAGGCTGAGTACAGCATACAAAATCAAGTAGATAGCCTAGCAAATGTGACACAACCTGACCCGAATATCATCTGAAAACTCTTGTTGGAACCCAGCCCATCGGGCACCAACATGCATGGGTCAGGTGTCCACATATCTTGGAACCTGTATCTGTGATATTTTGGCCATGTGAGGAAGTTGAGGTGCGTCATCCATCTTTATATACAGTTCATGGTTTAATCCCTGCCTCAACATGGAAACGCCTCCAATTACAGAAGTATGACGTCACTAGATTGAACTTGCCTTGTGGCGCGTATGGTTTGATTTTACTCATTTCACTGTTTAAGATTTGTGAGTGAGTGAGGATACAGCACTATAGATAGATATAATTGTAATATGGGCTGTCCGCTGACGTTGACACTGTAATAAAAAGCATCATGAGCACCATCACTCACAGCCAGCTGTAATAGACCCTAATTACTTCACCCTCTGCACAGTTTCATGCGTGAAATGAAAGCACTCTCCTACGCACTTGGAAGGGAGGGGCAGCTTTGTACAAAAAAAGATGGGAGAGCAGCAGATAAAAATGTGGTAAAGATGTGGAAGACGAGGACAGGAAACTAAGCTGCAGACACAGGAGGAGGATGGAGGAAGAACGTTTGATTCCTGGGAAGCCACCAGGTCTTACCCTTTGTTTCCTCTGCAAACAACATGGCCCTGTTTTCTTGACTTTTCTTTGTAGAGCAGGTTTACAGCCATCCCTCCTCACTGCTGTCGCCCTATCTTTTTCACTTTACCTACCTGTCCCTACTCTGTCCATTTATCTCTTCCTGCTTCACTCAGTCCTCCCTTTCTTCTTCTGCTTTGTCCTTCGCTGTCAGCCTTGTCTTCCCTCTTCTCCTTACTTTCTCTTTTCCACAACATAGACAGTAAGGGCTTTGCAGTCCCAGGGAGATCTATTGCTTCTTTAAACACTTTCTTAGTTTCCTCTGTTCCTCTCAGTGGGCATCTCTACACAGCCCTTCCCCAAATAAGGGCAGTAAGCCATCAGCTAACTATGTACATATATGTTTGTTCAAAAATGCAGCACTTTTGAATAGTCTGAGACGTATGTATGCTCCACTGCAGGAAGGACTTTGAGCCTTAGAGACAGGTGTCATTGACTGTGTAAGGTCTCATAGAACTGGCGCTCTAGTTGTCCCCTATTAGATCCTTGGAGTACACGACACAGCAGTTTCTGTAATTGGGAAATCAAGCAAATCAAGCAAAAAACATGTGGATGTTGGTTTTGTCAGGCTCGGAAGGATTGACAGAAAAATGTGTCCCAAGCCGATCTCTATTCTTTAGAACTGTGATGTCCACTGAAGCGTTTTACCTCGTCCAGCTTGATGTTTTATTCTATGAGCAGGAGGGATCATTTGGACTCACCATACCTTTTCTACTCGCTGTTTGTAGTTGTCGTGCAATCTCAATCCACTGACAGGAAAGGTTGTTAGAAAGTGGATTGTAGGTTAAGACTGTGTTAAAGACATGACAGTTTTCAGGTCAAGAATAAACATCCTGTTCATGGTCATCTACAAAAGCAGTTCCTTGAAATACAATCACAGGACGTCATCATCTTGGCTAAATTTGACAAGCAGAAAATAGTCAGTGAGTCATAACTATAAACAATCCTGTGATTAGCGGAGTGCTGATCTGGATGACCGCACTCGTGATTGGGTGGTTTGACACTATTGCTACAGGACATCACATGGGTCTAAAGATTACTCTGAGTCATCTTTGGAGAACCAACAAATAGGAATGAAGCTGTAACTCAGTTGTCCACATATGAAGAACAGTCTTTGTACACTTATGATGTATTATCAATTTGGCATTTTGTAAAATAAGTGTTATGTTTGTTTATATACAGTGAAAAAATGTACATGTGTCATTGATTTTTCATAAACTCCAGGTTGGTTTGTATGCATCGTTGTCCTCTCACCACTGGCTGTAGCTGTGTACCGGGCATCATTGCATTCGCGAGCTGCATCTGCTGGGCCAGCATCACCATGTTTTTCTGCTGGATGAGGTTGTTCCTTCCATTGATCTCCAGCTGGGTCTTTAGGTGAGGAGGAGGATGGAGGTACTTACAGTTCTCCCTGGAACAGCGGCCCTGTTGCAGTGGGAGAGTAAAGAGCAGGGGGGGGGGGGGATGAAAGAGATATGGAAAGAGGCGAATTAGAATAGCGTTTCCCATAACTGTCGCCTAATGTAAAGAAGAAATGAGCCTTGACTGAAGTTGCTGCCCTTCCATTTCTCAGGCGCTGACCTAACATCCCTGACATCTGGGCCTGCCACTGGGTTTGTCGCAAAGAAGAACGATCGGTTCTACTTTCTTTTACCCCTTTTTAACCCGAGCTGAATGCTCGCTACTTTCCCATTTTTTCTCCCATTGAGAGGCAAATTAGTTTCTAGAGCAACAATAATAATTTGGATTTTTATTTCTATCTGCCTCTTCTAACTGAGGAACATAGAAAATGATTCACTGCCCCTATGATGATTTGGATACTTTATCTTTACTTAGTGCTCAATACGGCAGCAACTAAGGATTATTTTAAAGGAGACATATATTGCTTATATTCAGGTCAATCATTTTAATTATGGGTTATTACTTGAAAAGTTTTACGTGCTCTAGTTTGACCTTTTCCATGGACGTTTCAGGGGCTTGTATGTTCACATTCAATATAATCTGGAATTAGACAATTCTTTAACATTCTTGATTGAAAACGGACTCAGATTAATATTTTATCCAAAGTTGCTAGATACTGTCAGTTGAACTGATTCCTTAATTGTTTCATTGCTCAACCTCTGCAGTGACTTGTCGCTGTTATTACTTTAAAAAAGGTCTCACTTTGTTGGAGCAAATTATACCATAAGCAAAAGAGGCTTGAGATCAGAAAGGTCAAGAACATTCCTCTTTGTATAACAATTGTTAAGTGAAAGTAAAGACTTGGAAATTAAAAGGAAAGAGGAGAAAAAAAAGGGCAAGAGATGAGGAACACTCAGCTTTTTATCTGCTCCCTCAACTGCTGCCGCTGCCCTCTTACTCAAAAGAGGAACAGATTTCTGAAATTTCACTCGCAAAGATCCACCTTCTCACCCCGTGCCTCCAACTCAAAAGCTGTCTCACTTGACGCCGTATGTTTAACAAGCCCCGGTGAATCACTATTGATCTCCCTCAATTGAGACGAATGAGTTATTTGTCAATATGCTACTGTACATCATTTCAGAGGAGAACCAGCTGGAGAACTGATGCAGGATCAATACGCGATTGGAGACCAGTGTGTCAATAAACATACACACCCGTCGCAGCACTCTATCTAATATTGGGCTTGTGTCTATAGACGGTGAGATGTGTGTCTGGGTGCTCGCTGCTGTGCTTGATTATATTCATCTAGCAGCCAGCAGCCCAAGGGGAGAAAGAGGGAATGTAATTTACACTCTCATAATGCCTGCTCCACTGAACGCTCCCCCAGATAGGTGTAATATCTCAGATATCTCCTCCTTTAAGTCCCCCTTTCTCATTCCCTTCCTTTCACCTCAATCCCACATACATCCGAGCCCCATGCTGATATTTGCTCCCCTTATCATGAATACAGAGCAGTGCGGATGCAGTGGTGCTGCTGTGAATCGGTGCATGTGAATATGTTCATGTATGTGCGCAGAAAACAAAAGAAATACTCTCTTGCTCTGCCTTTGCCTGTTTTGTTCTTTCCTCTCCTCTCGCCTCAATCTCACCCCCCATCAAAATGCATCCTATTACTGCTTTGTACAAATCTACTTCTAGAGGGAAGGGAAGGCCAACGCTGCGACAACTCCACAGTGCCACCTCCCATGGGGAATTAAAGGTTGGCTGTCATGCTACTGCTTATCTCAGTGAGATTACCTGCTGCCCTCTGTGGCCCACTATGACAGATGCTTTCACAACCCTTTGTTCTTCCCACCTCTCCTCTCTCTCCTCCTGTCTTCCCCTAGTCTTGCTCCATCCCTCCATTTATGTCCTTGTGCAGCCTGTTCTGCCTAGCGACAGCAGGGGAGCTGCTTTGCATTGGAGAGCAGCAGAATGTCAAGAGTTCCTCCAGCATTTTCATTGGCTGGGAGCCGACAGGAATGGTATTCCCAGTCTGCTGATTGGCCTAGAGGCGCGCATTAACAATGCTGCTATGGTCTGGCTCGTTCCTGTGTGGCTGTGACTATTGATCAGCACTAATTGGTTAATGTGTTTTGATTTTCAGGGCACATTCCCCCGGGTGACTAGACTTGGTCATGTCAACTCCAGCTGTGTGTGTGTGTGTCTGTAATTGTGAATTGTATTGATAGAAGAATGTAAGATAGAAAAAAAACTAAAACACTTCTCTACATTGATTTACTTTATTGACAACGGTAAATAGATTTTAAACACTTTTAAAAAATATGTCAAGCTGCATAATAATATTTAAATTAATAATAATACCAGCATGCAATTTTATAGAACATTTTATGATAATATTTTGAGAATAAAGTTAAAAACAGGAGCCATAACTAATTTGTTTGTTTTATGACACATTATTTATTGGTTAACAAGATTTAGCAGTTTCATTTTAGCCAGATTCTTTCGATCAAATGTAGGATTTAGATGAACAATGAATGTCACAGACTGTTCTCAGAATTTATTCTGATAATATTCTCAAGTACACATATGTTGTTAAACTCATAGAATTATGATTTTATGATCAAATTGTTTTCATTTGATTGAAATTGAAATATCATTTTCTTTGTTGTTTTGTTTCCTTAATAGGCAAGCAATTGTATTTTCAACAATTTGAAATTGTGAAACCTTGATGAGCATCAAAAAATTGTGTTTAATGTGCAGGAGCAAACATCAGTTTGTGCAGCTGAGTCAGCAGAGAAATAAGGTTCTCACCCCGAAATCTACTTTCAGCAAGGCTGGAAGGCCGTTAAAGAAGACTTGGATGAAAAGTTAAGACAACATTATGACGGATCAAAAAAGGATTTGTCTGGTTATGTTTTTCCTCTGAGGGTTTTGTTCTCTCTAATCTCCTGAAGGGCAAGGTCAGGGGCTTTAATGTGATTATCTGACTGCTCAATCATTTGTAGTTGAAGAATAACACAGTGTGAAATGTTGCTGCGGGATCATTCATAATGCAGTGTAATCTGATCTGGATGAAGTCCATTATCCTTATTATGTTTTTGAAAGAAGTATTTTATTTTATTCTTTAGAGACAACGCTGCTGTGAAAACAATATTATGTGTTATGTATTACAATTAAGATCAAGGTGAAATCATAATTATTATGCTTGTACCAATAACAATTTGCGCGTTTGAATTTTATCAGCTGCATTCAGAGGTCAGTATCTTGACACGTACACCCCTCTGTTTCCACTGATAGCTTCATTATCTGTTGCTGTGTTGTTGTCTGAACAAGTCAATGCAGCGTGAGCCCGTCCCCGTCGATCATCACCTGCCTGCGATGCTAATGTCCTGGCTTCTATCCTGCCTCTATTTTCCCCCCGCTGTCTAAACAATGTCAGAACAGGTTAATGGCGAGCACGTCTGAGCCAAAGCATGGCTCTCCCTCTGGCCAGAGTGTGTGTGTCTACCAGACTCCACTCAAGTCGTCTTCTGCCTTCACCTGTCTGCCCGTCCTCTACTGACATGCTAACAGACTACTTGCATCTCAAGCATTTCTCGATTGCTCTAACTTCCTCCCGGTCTCTCCCCCTCCTGCCTCTCAGGTGATTGTCTGGACTCGTCTGTTGCACTAAGACTTCGCACCAAACAAATTGAATTCCTTCTCCGCTCAGAGCCACGCATCTTTTTAACATCTCATGGGGGGAGGTTTTGGTAAACAGCCGCCCCTTCTCATCACCAAATATAGATTCTGAAACTTGAACCAATTTGCTTTTGCCAAGTTTTGGCTGTGCCAAAGCACAGTTTCACTTTCTTTTAATTGGCAAGGCATTAAAGGAAAGTGAAGCAGCTGTCACAGTCTCACTCTTAAGTGTATGAGTGCATGTACATGTAGGTGCAGGGGAGTGAAGCATTCTGCTTCCATAAATCACCTTGGCCTCATTACACCAGATATCTTTCTGCCATATTTCATCTCTGGGATTCTCACATTCACATGCACATATGTATAGAGCAGTGTGCACGCACACACACAGTTGTGTCTCCATGACTGCAGAGGGCATTGCACTGACACATTCATTTCCTGGAGATTGATGTTAACCATATATTACTAAACATGTGTTCACCCTGAAATGTAATGATTTACATTATTGGAACTAGATTTCCGTCCCCATAAGGAAGACCAGTCCCTATGATGTGACAGACGCAGGTCCCCACAACAGGAGTGATACCTGAACAACACACGCACCCACACCCACAGATTCCCCATTATCTCTTTTAAGAATAATATAATGTACTACATTACTGGTGCTTATTAATGAGCACATTGTGAGGAACAGAACACAAATGTATTCCCTGGCACCTACACATACATGCACAAGCTCACATACCATATAGGCAACATATGCGTGTTCTAACCTTGAGTTACTTCAATTACCACTGCGGCACTTTCACTGCAGTTTCAGGTATCACATGAGTGGCTGGTTCTGACCTCAGCAACAACATGGTTTTTAATCAGCATCACATAATCCTCAGTGACAAGGTTACATCAACAAGGCCGTCCACAAAAACAGCAGTGGGCACCAGATTTTTAACCCTTTGATCCCCACCTTCTGGACACGAGATATTTTTAAAACTGCTCTAATAAAAATGTTTATATCAACAATGAAATAAGAAATGAGTGCAATGTGTACAGGGTCGCTCAAACCCACATTTTCACCCACATTTCCCAGTCCCCCTCAACTGTATGGTGCATTTCAGCATCATTCAAGCTCGTAAAGCACAAATATACCTCCAGGTGCTGCTGCAATGAAGATTTACAAAGTCCTAGTCATTGAACGTATGACATCTTAATGACCATGACATCACTCACTACTTTGTGGGTGAGTGAGTGTGTGCTATGAGACGATATAATCGAAACATTACACTTATTTGTAGCCTGTAGAATGGGTCTATGGAAACCCCGAGAATAAACACTGTGGCGAA